TGACGGCATACCTGCCATTGTCCTCAGGAATTGTGCTGATATTTTGTGTTATCCTCTTACTAACATTTTTAATGCTTCTTTTTCCGGTAACGTTCTACCTTTTGCATGGAAAAACATTAAAATTATCCCTATACCAAAACCATCTTCTGGTTCTGATATTAAATTTCGGCCTATTGCAATTACTTCCCCCTTTTTAAAATTGATGGAAAAATTACTTTTACTTCGTCTTGAACCCGCTTTGAAACCTTTTAATGATCCTAAACAATTTGCATACAAACATGGTAGAAGTACCTTGGATGCTGCGGTTGTCTTATATCACAATGTTGTCTCTTGTTTAGACAAAGGTGCTAAATATGTTCGTAGTGCTTTCTTAGACTACACATCTGCTTTTGACTCTGTACCTAGGGGCCTTTTGTTAAATAAGCTATCGTTGACACAAACAGGATCCTGGGCTAAGAGTTGGTTGCATTCCTATTTTTCTGATAGAATGCAGTATACTGTATATAACGGCAAATCTTCTTCTACCTCGCTTACAAAATCCGGTGTTCCACAAGGTGCTGTCCTCTCTCCTTTTCTTTTTTCTTTCTTCCTACATGACCTGCCTCATTCAAACGAAACTAACTTTGTCAAATATGCAGATGATCTGACTGTATCACTGCCTATCACTTCCGAGTCTGACAGCTCCAAACTTAATAGCTTTCTGTTGGACATCAACAACTGGTCCAAGTCAAATGGTCTTATATTAAATCCTTCCAAATGTCAGGCAGTTGACTTTACTTTCAAGCATCGACGTGACTTACTTGAACTAGTTAACTCGCATGATCCCTGTAGCATAGATGGCACGGAAATTGAAACCAAATCAAGCATTAAATACCTTGGATTAGTTTTTTCCTCTGACCTTTCATGGTCATCCCATATCTTATCTATCTCTAAGAAAATGTTTCGTCTTACCTTCTACATTAAAAAGTTAAGACAATCAGGTATCAACCAACCTTTAGTTTTGCAATTTTTAAACTCCTGTATTTTACCTATTGTACTCTATTGCTCTCCATTAATCTTTCCTGGGCTTCTCAAAAAAGATTATATCATATTACGAAGAGTATTAAATGCTGTGAGTAGAGCTTGTGGTCTGCCACTGCATGAGCTCGCTAATACTATAGTCGAGAGGCATATAAATTCCTGTACGAAATGGGCAAAGGCTATAATGTCAGACCCTCTGCACCCCCTTTATTCACACCTGTCCCCTTGTATCTCATCAGGTAGGACGAGAAGTCAATATAAAAAGATATATGCTCGTACCACTAAGTATAGAAATTCTACAATACCCTATTTAGCGCGTACTTTATGTGACGAAGACTCTGTTAGACGTGAAACTTACAAGTTACTATGTAATTAGCACAGTGAATCGACCCTTTTATCGTTCATCTTTCTGTATTTTATGGTGTCACACTTTCTATCGTTTAATCGTTACTCTGCTATTTTATTTTAGTTGGTATTACTATTATTACTACAATTTTGTACTTTATGCATATTTTTCTCCGTATGGCACACAGTATTTTGCTACGTAGCTGCTATAACAATCGTTTTATTACTATTATGTAATGTGTATTTTTAATTTTTTTTGTCGTTTTTGAGTAAATTAGATGCAATATTGTACTGAATACTGAAAATTCCTTGCTGTATCATTAGTACTGTTTTGAGAATAAAGCAAAAATTATTATTATTATTAAGTACACAAGCTACTCCGATGCTTTCTAGGAAGGTAAATTTCAATGAATTTATCATACTAACTAATATACCAGTAATATTGCTGCTGTTCGCAAGTCTTATTTTGTTCGAACCCCGGACCATGTGCACGGTCGGCGAGCGTCCTAACCGCTATGCCACCGACGCGAAGGTATATTAGTCCCAGATTTTCTGAAGCTTTCAGACAAGTATTACCCTGAAAAACGAATTCTGACGAGAGGTGAAAATGGTTATACTCATGAATCACTTTGCTTTTACACTTTTTCGATATACTTTTCTAAGCTTCAGTTGAGAGAAATGCAGTCTGTCCTCATTGTTTCAACAGTGAGAAGTCTTCCTGGTATACCATGGATCACGTGTTCAATTCATTTAGGGTTTCAGCTATCTTTTTTTCTGCTTAAAACTTTAATACTACTTTCTATAAATCAGCAGTATAGCGCATTTGTCTGCTTTTTTCCACTTCAATTTATTGATTCATTTTCCCGCACAGCATATTGTATTTATTACTCTTTTAGACATTTCACCTGCCAATTCATTGTAGGTCTAAAACTCTGACGGTGTTTTAGGTTATATTTACTTGCGATAACTCACCGTTGCTGTCTTAGTATTAGTAATTCATTACCGGAACACTGGTAGAATTGTTAAATCACACAGTGTTATATAGTAATATTAACTCTATAACAGTGATTTTTCAAAATAAAATCTTATCCATAATGGAGTTATACTCTATCACAGTGCCCAAGTAGTTTTATACTTGTGCTGATAAATTTGGTTATCAAACTAATGTACACTAGTAAGTTACTTTTACGTAATGCAACTTCTACAGGACGCTCGCCGACCATGCACATGGTCCGGGGTTCGATCCCCGGCCGACACACTCCTTTACCTCGCTAAGCCAGAAGTAATGCTGGCAAAGAGGAAAGGTTGGGCATGAGGCTAGCAACCCCATCCTGTAAAAATTAAACATTGCTACAGAAACTTCAAGCCACTAGCTTGAGACCCTATGTTCTATTAGGAACGTGTAGGAAAAAAAAAGCAACTTCTATCCTCCTCTATTAAATATTCACCTAATAATTCTATATTCATCCTTATTAGTAATTTAAAAATCTTCAAACATTGTCAGCAGTGTGTTTACCCTTCTGCCACTGTAATTAAGAGGTTCTTATCAATATGGAGGAAATACATGAATTTTTATAAGCCGAATCACATTTTGTATTTTGTGTTATTAAAATAAATGCAACAATATTATTGTTCTGATTTTTCTGTTTCCTGTGTTCACGTATTTAAATTGGCATAAAAGTAAGACGTGTTATTCAACTCGGAAATCACTTCTCAGAACAATAACTAAATTGGTTTGGTACAAAAAATATTTCACCACCTCCCTAATTCTAGTTAACGAGAACAGCAATGGAAAGATGTTAAAACGATACCTAGTATTCACTGTATGGGAGAAACTGCACTTCAGGCTTGTCTTCTACGTATAATAGCCCAATACTTCGGAAAAGAATCGATAAGAGCTGAAAAAATGGGATTAGATGACAGAGTAATAGTTGATATAGTTTTGATAACGAGTTCCTTAGGATCAGTATCAAGAACTTTTGGTAAAATCAGTAATAACAAAGATGCCGACAGAGCATTAGAGGTAATAAGTAGTTGCTTGGAACTAAACCCAACTGCTTATCACTGCAGTTAATAAGGAGCTAGAAAAGCTATTTCTTGATTAGTACTGGTAGCCTGGGTTGAATAGCATAGTTTGTAAAGCACCGCAGTTCACGTCTACTTAACAGTGGAATGGAGCTCTACATCAAAAAATGAGGAGGCAAGTTAAATATGAAACTTTAACACAATATATCAAGTAGATTCCCACTCTTCGACAAAATTCGAGAGCGTGACACATACTAGCTCAATACAGCTTTTGTATATTGTTGGTACTCTGTGCTGATGGAAATATTCTAATCATTCGTGAACTCGTCTTAGATTTGGAGATCCTTCGACAAATTAAGAGCATGCGAGGTCTTCTTAATAACTCAAGGGAAATATGAGGATGTTTGGCATGCATATTACGCCTGCTAAAAGTAGGACTGGATGATGACCAAGGTATAACTGATAAGATTATCTGACAAAGACAGTAGAGTACACACTTGCACTTTGATGTCTGATTAAGTCTTAACATGAAGAAGGCTTCATTTGACATTCGCCAACAGAACGTCATCTAGGGGATAGACATTCCAATTAAACGACTCCGACAGTGAACCAGCCGAGAACCTTCAACCCAACAGTTATGCAGCAGGGAATGGAGATGAACTGAACATACTCTGAGATCACCAAATGGCATCAGCCCCTCGAGTGGAACCCGTACAGGAATTTACGGGTTGGGCGATCAAGGGTGACATAGAGGAGATGGTGTGGGAAGGAAATAAAAGTGTAGGTGTAGTAGTGGAGCCAGCTGGAAATAACGACAGAAGATCAACTGGAGTGGAAATGTGCCACTGAGACCTTATGTTCTGCTAGGCAGGCAAAGGACTGAATAATAATGGTAATAATAAGGATAAACGTCGAATATTCCACGCTTTAGTTTATTGTGCCCGGGTAAGACATAGTGCAAGACAATGCAAAAGACAAATAAGGTCAGAGTATTTAATCAAATACTGACTCACTGCATTTCACCTGAGTCACTAATACCAGAGCTATGAAATTCGAAAAAGACATGTGTCGCGCATCTGAAACACTACAAAAATCGCCTAATATGCTGGACAAAATTCAACTGTATCTGAAAATACTTAGAACAATAGAGAGTAATATAATCCCCACTTCTGCCTTGGCCGTGGAGAGATAGACATTTATTTAGTTATTCTATGCACTTTTCCCTTATTATTATCATTATTATTACTATTCTCACTCTGAATCTTTTCCACTTAACCCACTTGTCATTTTAAACCAAAATTATTAATTTTTATATATTTTATTTTTACAATATTGAATTCTATCTTATCAAATTTTACACCATGTTATATGACATTTTATATTCGTCTACTAATCCTATAATTATGTACCCCTTTCCAAAATCTATACACCTTATATATTATTAAATATATGACATTAATTATTTTGCCACTTGACATTAAACTATGATTATAATCACAAATATTTTAACTGCATTTCATACAATTATTATTTCATATATTCACACCTTTTACCTAATTCCCTCACCGGTTATAATTTCTTAAAAAAATACCACATATATACGAGTAATGTAATACACCAGATTTTGAATTTTCACTGATTATCAGGAATATAGTAATTCAGTGACTGCAGAGTTAAGGTAATACAGCTCAAAATCGATCAGATTAATGTTGACTTTTCCCACCTTTATACCAAAATTAACTTCGTTTTCTGTCTTGTTTGCATATTATTCGCATTTCTTCATTCTGATTATATTGTTACAAACATTGGTTGACTGAACCAATGTATTGTTATTGTTTGTGACACATTACATTTATTCACTCTTATCCGGTAATCAACAAAAAACTGAAAAGACTTCAGTAACAATAAGCATTACAGTAAATTACTACAAAACTGAAAACTATAGCACTTTATTTTTTAAAAATCCCCACAAGTAAAGTTGAACATTATTCTTCTTCCTGAACTAGATTTATTCTCAGGAGCATAGAGATAACCAGGCCACAGAGAAATCAGGAATGTCACAGATCTCTGTTGGACAGTATGCTTATTTCTTCATATGAAGAGAGAGAGAAAAATCAGATAAAATTAATGAAATCAATAAAAAACAGAAGAGAAGAGATTAAACTAGACATTAATATTTATCATCCAATAGTTACAAATAAATTTGTGAATTAATCAATAAAAAAAACTGAGAAATGGTAGGAAAAGACATCAAAAAAGCAAACCCACAAGATTTGAGGCTTTGTAAATAAAATCAAAACGAAATGATAACATATAAGCTGACAAATTTATTCCACCCGAGGTAGAAAGCCATTTTTTTCAGGTTGATAAAATTCTTCAATCATTTTATTCACAAGTTCTTGAAGTTCATTTTCCAAAGACTGATAAAGTGTTCTGAAAGGTAAGAGAAAATCAATAATTGCCTTATTGAAATAACACTCATCATGAATTCAGTGCTAAATCTTTCTTCTGTATGAAAATGGAAGGTTCTACCATATCAGTCCGTTGATACAATACAAGTAAATAGTGAAAGTGTAATTCATATAATCAACGCATGTTCAGATTTCATTCCATCTAATGTAACGCCTCTCATCAAAACGTGACTTTAACACTTGTGGTGCACCTTTCACTGCACCAAAATAAATCATAGCGCAAAATCAAACTGAATCAACTTAATATTAACATTTAGCCCACCTACGGACGCTTTAGTTTTTCTAAGTTTTGTTTTAATGGGTAAACATCCGGAAAGGCTCGAACAGCATTTTGCTCTCCTTCCTTTTGCTATAAACATGCACAGGCTCTGAGTCCATAGTTCAGCCATACCAGTCAGATAAGTTCTAAATTCTCTTCTCTACTAATTATTTTGTTTCAATAGTTTACTCGCAATGATAAATTTCTTTTTTAGTAATATTTCGAGCAAAACTACTCCTCGTGATCATACCAAATGTTGAAATTGTTTTTTCTATTAATTCATAAATTCATAATTTGTAATAATAATAATAATAATTTACTTTATTCCAAAAACAGTACTTGTGGTACAGAATGGAATTTTCAGCATTAATCACAATATTGCATCTAATTTCCTCAAATTACAAATAAAATTAATCAAACAGAAAATTTTCCACATTTACAATGAGGGGAAATGTCAAAAACATGCAGCATATAAGTTGGAAATAATAATAATGGTAACAGCTAAAGTAATAATAATAATACAAGTGAAAATTGCCGTGGGCTTGTTTCACACAGTATCGTTGATGTGGTATAGAAATCCTAGCATGTTTAAAAATAGTGAATAAAATGTTCTCTTTACATGATATGGTGAGGGGAAAAACAAAAAGTACAGCAATCCTAGAGATAAGTTGGTCTTTGCAATTATGAAAGTAAAACAAAGAAGCAACAGGACCATAAATATAATAGAAATAATAAAAGTACAACTTGAAGGTATATAAGGATGGATGGAATTGTTTATTTACCAGATGGAAAAAGGTTAGTTAATTCTTGTCTGACACTATTTTCATCACATAAAATACGTGACAAGTATGGTATCATAGAATTCTTATACTTAGACGTGCGAGCATACAGTTTTCTGAAGTTACTCCTTGTTCTACCTGAGGAGATGCAAGGTGAAAGCTGAGGGTGAAGTGGATGCTCCAAGTCAGACAAAATCCCTCTAGCAAATTTATTGCACGAAGTCAAGGGCCAGTCACCCTACTGACTGTCTTCAGCATTCTACGAAGTGTGACATAGTCTTTTTTAAGCAAACCAGGAAAGAATAAGGGTGAACAATAAAGAAGAATAGGTAGGATACAAGAGTTTATGAACTGTAAGAGGAGGGGTTGAGTTGTACCCGAGTGCCTTAACTTCTTGATGTAAAATGTCAGGCGGAATATTTTACTGGACATTGCTAAGACATGGGAAGACCAGGAGAGATCATAAGAGAGAATAAGTTCAAGATACTTGATTTCTGATTTAATTCCTATATCATTGTCGTCAATCTTACAACTGTCATGAGAATCGACGACTTCTTTTAACTGTCTTTTACATCTTAAGCTGAAATTAACAGTTTGACATTTAGAACGATTCAGTTTAAGACCGTTAGACTCAGACCATTTACTGACTCCCGACAGAAAGCCATTTATTTTGGTACAATCTAGCTAGGAGTTAACAGCCACTGAAACTGTTAAATCATCAGCGTACTTCACAAAGTTTATTTCATCAGAGTGAGGCAAGTCATGTAAGAAGAAAGAAAGAAGAAAAGGAGAAAGGACAGCGCCTTGAGGGACACCAGCTTCAGTAGGCAATGAAGTGGGAGACTTCCCTTTATACACAGTTTGCTGCTTTCTTTCTGCGAAATAGAAATGTAACCAGTTAGCAGCCCAACATTATGTTTGACTTGCAGCAAGTTTATTTAATAAGATGTCCCTAGGGGCCGAGTCAAAAGTAGATGTATAGTCTAGGAAGGCACAACGAACAAATTTATCCCCCTTGTCTAGACTGGAAGCAATGTTATGATATAAGACGGCAGCTGCATTTAAAGTGCTTCTAGGCAAATTGTTTAGGGTCATTAAGAGATTTAAGCGAAGGTACAAGACTAAGTAAAAGTAATTTCTCCATAGTTTTCAAAGAAGGAGAGGTATTAGCATATGTAGTCCATTTTTTATTCGTTCAATTTTGTAAATCCAGGATTATATCCCAGGTTGAGTCACCCCCGTTAGATGAATTCAGTGACCTTAATGAATATAGATTCTATTATCAGTCTTTCATTCCATTTGTTCACAATGGATTTCAGAATACAAACATTGTTTCAATCCATATTGTAGTTTTTATTACATGGATGTGCAGCTATAGATGACAGTTTCTTCTAAATTACTGCACTAATTTTGCTCGAAATATTACCACAAAAAACATTACTGTGTATACTACCCAAATATAATTATAATTAATTCGATCTATTCCACAATAAATAGACTTTTCACTGATATTAGTTTTCCAAAATTTATATAAACTTTTTATTTTACTCAAATATACTGCTCATCCCAGCAGATAACTAAACAACTAAGTCTTTTTGATTTGCGCTTTGTTATGGGTATTTGCAAATCAGATAGATTACTGATTGATTGGGTAATTAGGGATACTGCCTTTTAGTAAGACTGGTATAGCATAGCTAATCAAAACCACCACAAGTAAATAAGTATCTCACAGTCTAATACGGAAAACATATTCACTGGACAACTCATTCACATCATACGCAAATATCTCAATGTAAATACATCAAATAGAGAATCAGCAACATCTACAGGAAATAAGCGAGAAGATTTGGAACAGACGTACAAAAACTTATTAAAGCCATTCCGTCACTACACAAAATATTCAATGTCTAATAATTGCAGTCACTTGCCCGGGACATGTGGACGTGAGTTTGAGGAAAAGAGAACTGAGTGAAATCTATGAACTGTTTATGAAGGAGCAATCAGTATCACCATTGAAAACATTTGACCGGAAATCTACAGAAACGTATTTACTATTTCCACTACCTTCAATCATCATTTACGCATGAATAAATGATTCCCACAATCATTGTCATGATTTCACACAGCTCCAAATTACACAACAGTGCATTGCTTAATGGACGAATGGAGCTTGTTTGTAAGTAGCAGAGACTGAAAGGTGTAAAATAATCCTACATCCTCATAGAATATGCTTTCCCCAACCTCTTCGTTACTGCAGCCAAGTATTGCTTACAGTGAGATGTTATTCACGCACTTGGATAACATGACAGCACATGAATCGGCTTGTCCTCTGTCAAAATCTCAGTCGAAAAGATATCAACGGTAGGCTGCCAACACATAAAACTGACGAATATCACTTAAAGTCAAACATCCAGTTTAGATACCTTAGCTAGTCCACTGAAAACGTATACAAGCCAATCAGTTCATTGAGAACTAACCAAAATCCATCTATTAGACCTTTGTATCAAGCCCTTCGAGTAAGTGTTTCTGATTCAGTTTCCATGCTGTATAAAATCACATATTTTCCACATTATTTACGAAATACAGTGTATTGCTTTCACATACTGAAATACTAATACAAGTAGTAATTTTGGACGTCTAGTAGCGTGAAAGGTATCAATAAATTCCAGAAGAAAATTTCTCAGAAAACAAGTTTGTTAGTTAATGAAAGTGCACTACAAAAATACTTTTTCTAGTTAGACAATATATGCGTTGACTGGATGAACTGACATTTCACTCACTTCTTTGTGTAACTTATAAGACAGTTCAGAAAAAATTTCTGATATCAAAGAAAAATTTCATCATACCGACAGGTACATGGTCCGGTTTTACTTGATTCTCAAAGACAAAGAAAGTGCACAAGTATGCGCTGACCTTATTATGTCAATCAGTAATTAGACCACGCCTGAGTGTGTATGTTAGTCTAGAGGTAATTACAATCATCAGAAGAGTTTCACTATTACTAAGGGTGGCAGACAGTCAGGAATGAGCAACATCTAAGACACAGCAGTGTAACGGTAGAAGACGAGAGACAGACTTGGTAACGGAATGTTTATCTGCATTTGGTATCTCTATATAGCGAAATTGTGTACACCTATCTCAGAAAATCGGTCTCAAGTATTGTTCACCATTACTCGGGCAAAACAATGAACGGGAACGTTACTTTGAGACTGCTAATAAAAAAGCTACAGTTTGAGAGGCCTGTGTTATTTAACATATGTTCACCTACCGTTTGAACTGTCAATGAACACGATTTGACGCTTTGCCAAAGATTCTTTTCTAGTTGAGAATTTATTTGCACTGTATCTATTAAATATACTACTTCTCGGTCATTCACTCGCAAATTAGAACGCATGGCCCCTCTCTCAATAGCCCTCACTACTTCTAGTGTGATCAGAGAGAAAGAACACACATCATACTGTATGAAATTGTTTCTTCTCCTTCTTTTTGGATAGTACCTTCTCCAGTATCGTGCTTCGTCATATTCAAAGCATCTCTCTTTCCTGGTACTCATTCGTAGTGCCGTTGTAAAGAAGAAAAGACAGATAGATATGGCGTTTAACGCATCTAACCCATAGCAGAACAAAAGCCATAAACACTTTGTCAAAAGGCCTACTTGACTGAGTATATAATCGAAATTAGAGTTGTCTGGATATCGGTAAACAAAGTTTGTGATTTATTCATTTTAATTCCACTCAGCGAGATATTTTCGTGCATAGAATACAATCGATTGTAGGGATAGAGAAGCCAAAGGACGTCTTTGGTACAATAAATAACGTAAGGTGCAGACTGGTGTATCCAAATCTAGTGCTTTGACAGACAACATCCTCACTACGAGACGTAACATTAAATACTTTATACCTTGAAAGTAGTGAAAACATGCGCTAGTGTGAATTCGTATTTTTGGATGAAAAAGACTGTGAAACCAATTCTCATAATTATAAGAAAAACTAGATGTACGTATAAGGCGCTTACTTGCTTCTAGGTTTCGATCTCATCTCAGAATAGTACTTAATTTTCGGTTCAGTTCCACTTGTACGAATTGTTAATGTCACACCATTTGAGAAATCGAAAGTAATTTGTTGACTGGATGCGCTGACAGGTAAAACCTAAATACATGAAGACATGCAAAGAAAATAACGAGGACAGATATATCTTACCAGCAAACTGAAGGATATTATGTAGTTAATCAGAAATAAGAAAACAACAACAAATTAGTTAAATATTATCATGGTAAAGTCACCAAGTATAAAAAAGCAAGTTTTCATTGGCTTTTATTATATCCTATAGCCATTTAACAAGAAATTGTGAAGTCACTTTAAATAACTTCATTTGATTGTATTTTCTGTGATTAAGGATTCATTTCAAAAAAACAAAAATTCTTTCTATACGTCTTATTAGCTCTTGGTGATACGTGTGGCAGGAATAGTTTTCTTTTTATTATTCTATTGTCATTTTCTGTATACATATTGATTATTATTGACCATTTTTACTATCAGGAACTCTAACTTTGTTGCTGTTTTATTAATTGAGAGACTGGATGACTGTTTTAGAGGCCTATTCATTTTTGATTAAAACAGTGATTTCAAGTAATCTTTCAACACTGAAATCATCCTGGACTGTAAATCTTTTCTGTTATTCAAAACAAAAATTCTTTTGTGAATATTTTTGAGTTGTTCTTCTTGAAACATAGCCAATTTTTTAAAGGCATGTATACGCATATATTCAGCTACAACTTGGAGTGAACATTCTTGTTTCAAAACTAGTATGCATAGAAAAAATAAAAGGTAGAATTTTTGGAACTCACCTACTTAAATGTAAATATTCTTAAAGAAAATAAATGAGCAGAAAACGACTGCTATCTCTCCATTATGGATAAAATTTTATTTTGATAAAATCACACAGTGTTATACAGTAGCATGCAATAGAGTTGACTCAACACAAATACCAGAATTATGGAAGATATTATTACCCATCAAATCAGAGGATAATAAATAATGTTAAAATGCATTAGATTCACATTATAACATTCTAACAAGCTACTTATTTTCACTACAAAAACATCTTATTTCCCATCTTGTTGTATTTTATTGGTAACACAAATATTATTTCTGAATGTACTTTATTTTATTTTGACTTTATTTAAATGTCTAGTCAATTTTACTCATGTACATAAATAAAGCAAACAAGTTGTGTGAGTGACTTGATATGATTATGAGCAATAATTTGTGCTCGAAACGTCATCAGTTAATATTACTGTATAACACTGTGACTTTATCAAAATAAAATTTTATCCATAATGGAGTTATACTCTACCACAGTGCCCAAGTTTTATCCTTATATCAACAACTGCTATCTGTTCTCAAAAGACTAACAAAAATCAATGTGGTGTTGAACAACACTCAGACATTGATTAAGATGGCTCCACACATTGCATTCATCATCTGTTTAACAGAAACCTCAAATCTGTATGCGTTTTAGTAAGTTTGATAGGGATTAAGATAGGATATAAAGAGTAGTGAGCAATGGGGATAAATCTAAAGACAAGCATTTGCCTCATTTCTAACAAATCTTAGTCTTTTTGTTAGTAAATAAGATTTGAAAAATGTGTTAATCAACCAAACCTTATAGTTATTCTTTGCTTCTGATTTTTCATTTGTATGCAGTGTCATTATTGTTATCACCAGTCATTACTGAAATTAATTATAACTGATTCTTCGGAAAACTTATGTTCGTTACTTGGTTACAGAGTACTAATGCACACATTTGAATAAATTAAAGTTTCATTTTAAGTGGTCAAGAAAGAAGATCTTGTGTATGCGTAGGGAGATTTATATAAAATCAGTGAAATTCAAATTTATAATAAAGCATATACAATTTGAGCAACAGTGGAAGTTAAGCTAAATACAAACTAATCAGTGGATGATTATTAAAGTAATACTTTGATTGAACATTAATAACTACTGTGATGTGTCTAGTTCTTTCTTTGGTGCAGACTGAATTTTATCAGTCAGGTTTTCAGTGTGGCCACCATTCTAGGTAGCTCGCCATCACGGTACACACACTGATTTGACGATATGAGATAGTTTGAAGCAGTCAGGAGGTTGCAGATACGCCTTGCTGACGAGTCCCAACTAGCACGAAACCTAGGTCCAAGGCTTCCTGCCAGTCACCTCTATCTATTTAATATCATCAAAGTAATACTTTATTTACCAATATTTGTTGTCTTTTTCTGGATTAATGAATGCTGAAAAGTTACGTGACATGTAGTGAAATGTTCGAAGGTACTTGATAAAAATTTTTAAGTCAAATGCTTTACATCTTTTAGTTATAATTAACAGCATGTACATACAAGAACCCTCAAGAAGTTTTCAATTTAGAGATATAAAAGTGGAAATTAACATTTAAGTATTCAAGATGCATATCAGATATATGAAAATAATATCTGGTCCTCTTTTTATTACCTTTGGTAGCAGTACAAGAATAGATTAAATACTGTAGAAAGAATAAGAAGGAGATTTTGATATCAAGCACACTATCACTAGTAGCACAAAGCTTAGTTCAATTAGAAAATTCTTCCCAAACTGACCGTGATAGCTTTACACCACTGCCTATTTTGTCTATAACGCTTTTATAACAACTATTCCTTTTCGTTTGATAATATTAAGCCAAAAATTGGTACTGAAGAACACGAATATACTCGAGTTGGATGAACTACGTTCAGAATCGAGAAATCTTATTACTCACTGATCAAACACATCGTGACGTATACTTCAAAAAAGAACATGTATGACTTCTCTGATATTTTTTACTTTATTTTTGATTGCAGCTTGATTCCACACCGTATTTTTGGTACAAGTATGGAATTTCCAGCATGGATATCGGTAGCCCAAATTTTGCAGACCAACCATAGATATCAGGCAGGGGATCGAACCTCGAACCATGTGCATGGTCGGCGCGAGTCCTAAACACTGTGCCACCGATATTATTTATAAATGATACCCGTTGCACAAGAGGTGGCTTTCGTGGCCCAAGTTGTCTAGTGGATAACGCCTTGGCGTTTGGAACGATGGCTACTTGGTTTGAGCCTCGGTGGGAACGCCATCACTCACTGGGGAATACATGTATATCCATCTGACTAGTCTCAAATAAAACAAAATGTGCATCCTGGTTTTCACTGCTAGTCACCATTCACCAAATCCCCCTGATACTCTTTAAATCCGTCCTCTGTATGAAGTGGGAGACCAAATGCAATGATAAAAACTTAGAAAGGAAGTCTTTCTGATACATTTCCTGGTAATTATTTTCATTTCATAGAGTGACACTATAGATGTAAGTTGTTTATATCTTCAATAAACAAGTATTAATAAATCCGTGATGATAATCAGTATTTCCAACTTATAATTACCGGTTTGAAATCTGGATAGTGATCATCATAGCCAACTGTTAGATCGCGTATCCCAGTTATTTTAAATTGTCCTAATTTTTGAGGATAACCTTTGGGACCAGGTTTATTGGGCCAGTGACGAATACGATCGAACATTTGAGTAATTTTCTCTGGTTCATAACAGAAATAATAACCGTTATTAGAAATATGTTCACCATACCTAAAAGGATGAGAGATGCAAAATTAATTAATGCACACTATTATGATATGGTATATGATATGATATATGATAAACTAAAATACAATTAAGAAATTTTCTATGTGAAATAATGACTGTATGCAACTGTTATCAATGAAGAGGTGGATTGAATTTGTACATTATATAAACATTAAAATACAATGTAGATCAACAATCTATCCATAAGGTTGTAAGCTAGATACATATAAATAATGATATGTGGAAACTTAAACTTTGATAGAAAGTTTACCTCAATTTTCGACAAAATCTCAGCCTCAGGTCTTACCTCCCTCACCATGGATACACAAAAGATAAACACTGACATATGGAATAATAAAGAAAGGAACAATGCACTTTGCAGTTCTCGTCAGTACAACAGTATGATGTCTTTACTCAGTGTTTAATTAAACATTTACACTATAATACACTATTATTATAAAGATCTATACAGTATTCAAACATGTAAACCAATAGAAGATATTGCTTGAACTAATGCATCAGGCTGATGTACAATCACGATAAACGGCTAGTATAATCTTTTGTTCTACCAAACTGGATACTTCTATAATGCAGCATCAACAAGGATATTATGAAACACCTATATAGATGCAACGGTCGAATGTTTCTTAGACAGACAGAAAAGAAACACTTAGCCTCTACAGTTGTAAAAATATCATCAGGCCTAGCCACTTTCATCATTATTCACGTAACACTTTACCTTCAAATGAATAGATGTTATATTTAATAATTTTAATGAGATGTAAAATCAGTCCATATGCATAACGTTTTGCTTTGTATATAAGAAGTCAATCAGCAGGATACTTTGTAGTCAGGCTTCATGTATAGTGGTCTTCATCAACAAAGTGTCGCTGAAACCTTGTAGAAATTTATTTCCTGTCACGGATACAAATATGTGTCACCTGATGTGAACTCTTTAGAATTGAATGCCAAATTGCAAACTACTGCAGTTTAGCTCAGTGACCACATCCCACGCTTAATCCTCATTTACTACCAGATAGTTGCGCTGTGTGTCGTCCAGCGACAAAACACACAGATTCAAGTTTTAATTTTCTTGTTTACCTATGCCACCACGCTGACAAATGACAATGAATTTTACTAGCCAGAGAAATCATGTATGAAATTTTGTTCGTTTTAACATTATTGAAAACACTATGACAAAAGATCTCGGAGATTTGTTAACTAAACTTTTAGGCAAAGACAAGTCGATGGAAGAATAACCGATACCATTTAGGTGATAGAGTCACACTTTATTTCATGGATCGATGCCATATTTTGCTCTGACCACGCCCATTGCTTTTCTAATGTAATCATACTACATTTAACACCTGAACTCATTATTGCTAAGCGTGTTGTTTCACAGCGCACAAGCAACCGAACGAAGACATCTATCTTATAATTTCATCGGCCATTTTTTACAGTCAGAGGATGGATAATTACTTAAACAAAGGTGTACAAGAGGACTGCAATCATTGATTCATCAGTATGGGGCACAATATGTATTCTCAGATATCTTTATCATTTGACTTTGCTTCTATAAGTGAGCATTAAAATCATCTGCTAAGATGATTGTATCTGAGGGACTTTCTTTTAGCAAAATAACTAGACACCTTTTGATAAAACTAATGCTTTACTTTGTTGTGACTTTAGTAAGTGAATGTGAAAATGGATTACGTGAAAATATAGTGATGAATATCACGACCTTCCTCTATTTCTACAAAGCTAATCACTCCAATAGCATACAGACAACTATCTACTGAAATTCAAGTGAATAGTGGGTCTGTTACCCTTGACATATTGTTATTGATCCCTTGGGTTCCCAGTGGAACATAGCGCTTCATAAACACATCTCCAGTTTGTTCTATTACCTGCTGTCCTCTTTAGCTGAGCCCACAGTTGCCCATAATCCTATTACTCTTGAGCTCGCAGATATTTCTACCCCAGAGAGTCTACGATGCATAACCAGAGAACTCGTAGGATAAATTTTGTAGGCTCATCATGTTGGCTAGGTGAGGCTAAGTGAATAACTGCACTTGAATGTTGTATGAGTGTCGCAGAAATGCAAAATGCCTCCAACACTCACGATGTTGAGGTTTTCTCCAGTGAGGTTTGCTGTCGAATTTTCCAGAGCATTCATACGTAGAGTAGGACACAAAGAAACTGTTAATCTTTGTAATGGTATGAATAAAAATGTTTTTCTACGGGATTACAATTATTGGGTTACTGTCTGCATAGTAGGTGATGTTACTCAGAATGATGTACCTATGACAGTTTGATGCACCTGGAGAATCGCAGTACTATTGCTACAAGCATTCCTCATTTAATCTGCTGACCATCGTAAATAAAGACTATCTGTACTCGTTAAAATATTTAAGCAGGGTTTTGTCATTTAGCCAATTCTGAATTCAATAAGTCACAGAGATTTTAACTCATGAGAAGATAAAAAAATTTCAATCAATACATACAACTAACTGAAAACTATAGGTTCAGTGAATGTCAGACATAATTCAGATAAGTCAAAGGTAGAACCCAGCCATATGGATTTTATATATAATAAATGAATAAATGAAGAAGTATAGTATCCAGTTTTTGTGTGTGGACAGAAGCGAAAATTAGTTCCACGCACAAACTTTTACAAAATGAAAATTTATATGAAGTTATAAACTTATAGAAAGGCCAAATAAATCAATTTTCACTTTTAAAACGTAAATTCAAAACACTACATTGTATACTGTTGAAAACATACAGTACACTCCATATAAAGGGTGTGTATTGATTGAGAAATACGGATGAGAGGAGAATTCGTCAGGTTCGCTTATAATGAAATAATAGCAGATGTATAAAGCTGGAGAGGGTTAAACTACCGATTTTCTTAAGCAGACCAATTCACTTCTGGTGTTGTCTTTGGAATAATATGGAGATAAAGCAGGAAATAGATTCATTTTTCATCGTATATCAGTCGAATAAGAATGAGTTTAGTGAAGCAGTATATTCATGCACACCATACATACTATAAGCAACTAATTTTATTATGGAAAGTGGCAATTTTATTCATTTTTGGCTGTTGCGTTCGAGTCTCAGTGGGGACACCAGCAGTTACTGGGATGCAAATACAACCAGCTAGTCAGTGCCAAACATGCCAAGCACACTACCAGTCAAATAAACTGTTGTTTGTGGCAGCAATATTTATCATATTGTTAGATATTTTAGTTTCAATGTAATGAAAATCTGTTTGATGTAAATACAATGAAGTTTCCTTATAGCCATTTAAGAAGAAGTTATTGTAATACCTATGGTATTCAGAAGCTTACGTGAGAAGAAGCTTTGAAAACACATAGTAACATAATGTTTTCGGTAATCAGATCAGTAATGGAGATATTCATTAAGTAGTTCAATATACAGCTGGGTAATCACATGAACATTAGCACAGTAGCCTAGAAAAAATACACTTATTATGAGAAAATTTAATGGCACTACATGCTTTTAAAACCTTAAAAATGAGGTAGGGTTCGAAAGCATGAATAACTAGTTGCAAATCAATACCCTACACCTAGAGAACAAGTTTTACTCTTCAGAAGCATTAAATAAATGTTTGCCTGGAGCAGAAATAAAAGGTGTGTGGAAAAAATTGACAACCATTTTTTTACAAACTTAAATATTAAGTGGTGTTTAAGAGCGGGCCTTATGGTGAAAAAAACATCTAGAGGATTTTACTGAACTCATTGTTAGTACAAAGAAGAACATGTAACGAACTTTGTACATGATTTCGTTTCTGAGTTGTTTTTCAAGGTTGCCTGTTTTTCCCTTGTATGGTTTAATCTCAGTCAACCTTTTACCTACGTTAAGATGACCTACCCCTTTAGAGAAACCGGGCATTTCAAAGAGTAGACTATTGAGAAATGCAACAAAACATTTACTTAAAAAATAAAGAAATTCACAATTCCATTAAAAGCATACACTTTCGAGAATAAAGTATAGCTTTACTTGTCCCTATTATTCACATGCATCAAACGAAATCTCGTATTTAAGCAGCTCTACACTTAATTAAGTTGTAAACTACTTCACCTTTAATGAGTGGCAAAAAACTGCAGTCATCTATATGACTTCAGCCTGATTGATGGTTCAAACTTACTTAACGTTACATCCTAACAATTACGCTTCAGTCAAACGTCAGTTACTGAGTAATCGTTTCAATAAACATCTTTAAATAATATCTGTCACTTCTCGAAAATAACTGGACCACAACGCGACTGATGTTTAGCGCCTAGTGATGACTCCTTTAGTTTAAGCAGATTCATCAGTGTGAAAATAAACAAACAATTACTTATGTCATATGGAGATTTAACGTATTATTCTGAAATTCTTTAATTGACTCTGTTCCTTTGCGATAGAATGAAAGCAAGTCACGGTCTACTCTTGTCACCTCAATACATACTTCATCAATACTGTTTTTAATACTTATGCGAGGTTTAAAAGTTTTTTTGTTCACCCGTTGCTCTGTGTCGTTATACAGTCATCGGAAACAAAATTTAGCACAACTTTTTACAACAGAGTTGCAACTCAATACAATTAAAAATTATATAGGTGGCAGTGGATTACAGAATACCTAAATGAAGTTAAACTTTTGTCAAGGGCAAATTTACCTTAAAAACTTTAAGTTTCGCTTGTTACTGTATTCTGAAGGCCTTCCTCTCTCTCTCTCTCTCTCTCTCTCTCTCTCTCTATATATATATATATATATATATATATATATATACATGGAGTAGGTATTATTACGAAAACACGTTATGACTTTACAGACGCCTTTTGTTTATATCCACTAACAGGTACAGATGTTGTGATTATGACTTCAGACAATCTGCAGTACAGATTGCGCTTAAAGTAAAATATGCATTGAAAATCAATAACCTAACTGATGAGAGAATATTGATGATTTTCAAGGCAGTTCGCATAGCATATTGATGTCAGCTAATGAACAGATGACGAAATATAAGTGCCACGTAGCTCTCCTGGAATTCATCGTTCTACGAAATCGAGAAGAACAGTGTCACATAACGTGATGAGCGAGTTATTATCCAGTCAGTGGATTAGAATCTGATAAATAACATTTTCTAATTTCTTTTGTCTTATATTGTAGTCAAAACATTATAAAATGAAAACGATGGACAGAATGAGTTCACTGGTCTTACATAGGCTTCGAGAAATTGATTCGGAAAACAGATATCAGTGGAAAATGAAGTGTTAGGCAACTTGGTTATTTACAGAAAGTTATTTAATACTGGCTAGTGCATCTTAGTTCTGCGTGGTTTCTTAGCCGATGCTAATCGGTGATAAAGTATCTTGAAGCCAGTCAATTTCCTAACAACCAACTTATCGATTTAAAATGTATTTAACTAGGTGAAACAAAAGGAGTTATTTCTTATCAGAAAATGACAGCTATAAGTGCCCATAAAAAACCAGTATTATGTAGGTTTGGACAATAAGATAATGAGAACTTACGTTTCATATATATCACTTAACTGTCGAGCCAAAGTTTTCCCTTCTTTATAAACATGAGCAGTCATTTCAGCCGCTACTGCTAGAGCTCCAACACCGTCTTTATCACAGACAACATCACCACACATAAAACCTGATATTAGAAGTAAATTAAAGGATATTAAAAGGTTAAAATAAGTAGAAAATAAACGAATTTCTCTAATAAAGAGAGTGTAACATGATAGGGATGAGCTCCAAAAACAAATTTAGTTCTCACATTGTTCAGGGATATACATTAATAAGTCAGTTATAGATTTTTCATTATGTGAAGGGAATAAGATAAGAAATGCGCAATAACTAAAGGGATGAGTAAACACACTACCATCTTTCAGCAGGGAGCCTCTCAGGAGCTAACTTATGTGTCATCAATTACAGAATAAAGTTTTATAGTCTTTAGCGTATTTCAGATGTATAATAATTATTACTTTATCTTGATTATGAAGCATATCAGCCTTCTCCCATTCTACTTTTCCAGCACACAATATTGTGGGTTAAAATGTGTGGTGACTGCTGTAATAATATTTGCGTTTAGCTTTTCTCTTACATCGGAACTCAGTGTTTAAACAACTTTTATTTAGCTGACAATTCTATGGCACTACAAAATCCAGTGTAGAAACGTTTGGATTTATTTTATGATTATTACTTTGAGTTCTGAGTGGAACACAGGGCTTCATCCGGTTGTCTGCACTCCATTTTAGATGTCTCCACGGTTACCCACAAGTCTTCACCTCCTCCTCACATCATCTCCACATCACCTTCAGACCCATGTTCAACTCATCGGTTCCCATTCGGGTTCAACTTGAGGGCTTGGTGTATGATATCACTCAACGGTCTTGTCAGGATACGCCCTATCCATCTCCATTTCATTCTGAATGTTTATTGGGCGATAGGTGTTTTGGTAGGTCGGTTGGTTGCCAGAGTTTTCTGCTGCCTATTCTTTCTGGCCATCTGTTCTTCAATGTCGATTGAAGGCTGCTGTTAGTGACTCACCAAGTTTCTGAATCACATAGAAGCGCTAACTTGACATTAGTATTGCTAATTCATATCTTGTTCCTTAAGCTGGGTGCAGTAGATTTCCCCATTGATTTCAGAGTAGTGAAGGGCTGTCTTGCTTCTCTGAACTTGCCTTTGACACCATCACATATATAGATGAAACGATAGATTCACACAATAACCCTCAACTCACAACATCATAAAAAGAAAGTTATCAGGGAGAATGATACGACATTGTTGTACAATAACAAAGTGTTTGAGACTCAGTCAAATTCACAATTTGCAAAATAATTCGCAATTTGTGATTTACTCAGTTCGAGTTGTGAAATTTCACCACAGTTTATTTGGGAAATCGGAGTCATTAAGACGACAATATCTGATGTGCTCGATACCATAAATGGCAATCAAAAAAGCAAGCATAAATACAAGATGCTATGTACTACTGATTGACCGACATAAATAGTTGAATACCACTCACGTCAACTAGGAGTATTACCTGTTCACTCATGTAGCTAGCCAGAATTCTCGCGGTTTGAAGCGATTTGGTTTTCCGAGCTGAGTCGTACTGGGTACATCGCTGTTAGGCTGGTCCACGAACGACTGAAACAGCAACTTCGTCTTATATCACTTCGATTTGGTTAGCGAGCACTACTGGCTAGTATGAGTGGTATACAAATACTCATATCCATCAATCAGTAGATTATAGCAACATGTTTGAGACTTGCATAAAAACAATAAGGAAATTTACGGGTACTTTCATAATCAACCTTAACTTTAAGCAAAATAACCTACAGCTACAGTGTTTAAGGGCTCCTTTAAGAACACCGATGACCAGTTATAATGTTAATATCAGTAAACTGAAATGTACTATTAACGTGTACCGTTAGCTGTTACTTTTGTAAACGTATTGTCTGTAGATTTTTAAAGATGTCAAGTAAGTGCTCTGAACTTGTCTAAAGATTTGATCGACAATATGAAGCAAATAAATTAATTGAACCATAACTGTGTTAAGCAGAATTAAAATGAACACGAGTCATTTGATGAAGGCTTTCTTATATATATATATATATATATATATATATATATATATATATATATATATATATATATATATATATATCAAAGTGTTATATTAGTAATAATAATAATAAGACTTCATCATGAACTGACATTAGTTAGAGAAGGGTGCAGCCGGTCGGGTGTGAGGAGAAATAGTCGCCGAAGACATCGGTTAGGGGTCGCGCTATGTCGTGAATTGGCAGAAGTTAGAATTCATGGGCTATTGGATCGGGTCCCAATGGCTTAATGGTATACGAGCTCGCCTTGTAACCAGAAGGTCCTGGGTTCGAATCCCGGTGGGTGCGTACTGATGAAGAGTCCCAAACTAGGACGAAACAGCTGTCCAGTACTCCCAGGTTTTCCAATGGTTCTCTAACTGATGTCAGCTCATGATGAAATCCTGAAACCAATCAAATCCCTACAAACCAACACTTGAATAATAAGACTATTGAGAATGCAAGACTATTCACTAGCGCTTAGCAGCTGAATCCCTGCATAATTCTGATACAATAAATTAGTAGAATTACATAAAGAAAGACAATATTAACTTTACCTATAGCCTCTTCGAAGGCGAAAATTGTTTTGATACCTTTATATTCCAACTCACGCGACCGATTGCCTAACCATTTGAAACCTGTTAGGGTTTCTTCGAAGAGAAATCCTTCAGTTTTGGCAATAGTTTCTAATATTTTAGATGATACTGTACTGGATAGCAATGCAGCTTTCGAATCTGTAAGTAAGCATTATGATAAGTCGAAAGATGAAGGCGTAACTCTAGCGTTTTTATAAAAACAAAAAAACCTAACCATGAAATAAGAAAATTAACAACGCAAGTGAGTGGTAATGTCAGAAATATGAACTTCTGTTTACTGACTTCATCAGAATGTCCCTTGAAAAACAATACTGTTCTAACATCCCTATATAAGAGATAGGAATTGCATGCTAGATATACACACCTATTATTGTTGTCAGTGCAAACACAGCAGGAGTCACACAATTCTTGGAACATTGGAGTACTTCATCTCAACATAATGAATAACTCTAAACTAACATGGGTTTATGTCTATATCCTCCAAGTATTGCAGAAACTTCAGGAATTTCTGTTTTCAAAGCAGAGCAATGTTTCAAATACCAACCTTTACCATGGTTACAACGTGCTTAACTAGTTAAAACCCTTCTAGAATTTGTAACACACGTTACTCCAAAGTCAATCCGACCAAAATGCTTTTACGTTTAATCTACTTCATGTTGTTAGTATTTATAGTCTATTAATATACATAAGTTAATTTGCTGGATTGTATTTTATTATTAAACTACTGGACACTCCTCTTATCAGCTGACATTTCTTCATCTTGGACATTTAGTTATCACAAGTATATCTAAAAACCTAAATTACTTTCTCATCTGAAAAGAATTTACTGAACAGTGCAAAGTTCGGTGTTATTTTCTATAATTCACGCTGTTGCTACTTTCCTCTTCACAGCCGTCGTTCAAAAATCCATAATGCCATTATTACTATTATTCAGTGTCTTTCAATAAATTACATTAAACATGTTGTTAATATATATACGGTCAGAATAATAATAATTATCCTAAAAAGTTACACTCAATCAAATAAAATATACTAACATAAACTTCTGATTTCTGTTTCTCATTATCAGTCTTTCATCTCAATTACGAAGAGAATGGAGGTGAAAGTTGAATTCTTTATACTAGGCACATTCAAGATATTATGTCACAATAATAAGATGCATAGGATGTACAAGCATTGAAAACATGATCACACTTTTGAAAAAAGATTAGTAATGTGACGAAATCAGTACGCAGTTTGCGACAATATATGGTATAGCATTTCATCAGCCACACACTACTGATTGAATTACGATGCCAAGGTTGATGGTGATATCTCATTTTAAATTACAAACAGTCTTGAAGGCAACTGATTCTTTACTTTCCGGTTTCCCGTTTCAAATGAAAAAGTGCATTACTACTTGAGCAATAGGCTCAACTCAAATGTAAGCTACTGCATTATTCAACGAGTAAGATTAAGTAAAGTAGGATTATTTTGAAAAAGGGCTGCGCGCGGTAAGACCAAAAAATGGTATCAATAACTGGGTGTTATTCTGAGTTATCTAGGATGGTGTAGACTGACTGATTGGTGTCTTTATGATGCCAAGAATAAGTAGTTGGAGAATGTTGATGAAGTGAATCAAAGTCGTTCAAATTGGTACTGATGTAACTCCATTATTTTACATATTGTCTACCTCCCATTATAATATGGCCACGTTTCTGTACTCTTATTTTATGTGTACTTCTTTAAAGAGTACCAACCTAAAGTGATGTATTTCTGTACAAATTACTACCTTTTAGTCAGCCAATTATTACTCATCTGCAAAAATTAAAATATGAAGATACGTGTGATTAGCATGCTATTCAACACCTGCAACACAAATCTTAAGCATATTATTCTTGATGAAATGAAAATACAATATGAAAACCAGATGATCACTTCAGCCTGGACTCAACTACCAGCTACATTACAAAAATAGAACACCAGTGTGGAAAAGCAATTAACTAACTCTCAACTGCCCCTAGGACAGTGAAAGAGGTGATGACACCACTCATAGCTTATGTCTCTAACATATGCAGTTGATAAAGTTGAGTTGTAAGTAGTTTTTATGTAGTTGTGCTAGTTAACTGACAAACATATTGTGGATTACATCAAAAACGTGTTATTAATTTATTAAAATAGACCGTGGAGGATGTCTATTCAAGTAAAGATTTATGTATACCTTTCCAAAACCTATACACCTTATGTATTATTCTGTATATGACATTAATTGTTTTGCCACTTGACATTAAACCATGATTATGATCACAAATATTTTAATTGCATTTCATACTATTATTATTTCATGTATTCACACATTTGACCTAATTCCCTCACCGGATATAATTTCTTAAAAACCATATATATACGCTTGTATAGCTTGATAATAAATTCGTTGAAAAGAGTCTCTTCGCTGAATATTGTGTTCATAATGATACAATGGGAATTATTAAATTATTCAAAGACTTATGCATCTGAATTTCTTAATAACAAGCCTGATACCTTCAGTCTGGAATTTAAATAAAGATAAAGATAGATTAATAATGACGTACAGTTTGATTTCGGATTACTTTTCATCCAGTGCATAACTAACCACCAACCAAATAACGCTCCAAGTTCATTGCCGTTGAAAATTTTCCACTGACCACTACAAGTTAAATATATACAGAGAAAGCCTAGAAATATGCTGAAATCCACAACATTAAGTAGTTCATTTGAAATTTTTGTGCAAAAAAATTGAACATCTACAGAAATTAGGCAAACCAGTTACATTGAGTCATTTGTACCAAACGGACTAACAGTTTCAGTACTCTTATGAACACACAATGTGCTCAGTAGACTTTTGACGAAGAAGGCAACGGAAGTGTTCATAAAACACCATCGGGTTAGTACAATCAAACTTTAAGCTTGATCAGTAAACATTGGCAAGAAATGTACAATTTGATGAACTCCTGGATGTTAGTCTATATAATGTGGACAGATGAAAAAAGGTATAAGCCTCAAGGGAGTGTATAAGCACAGGTTATTCAACGTTGCGACAATAGAAAACTAAGAAATTACGAGTATGTGGAAGATAGATTACTGATTGATTGGGTAATTGGGGATACTGCCTTTTAGTAAGACTGGTATAGCATAGCTAATCAAAACCACCACAAGTAAATAAGTATCTCACAGTCTAATACGGAAAACATATTCACTGGACAACTCATTCACATCATACGCAAATATCTCAATGTAAATACATCAAATAGAGAATCAGCAACATCTACAGGAAATAAGCGAGAAGATTTGGAACAGACGTACAAAAACTTATTAAAGCCATTCCGTCACTACACAAAATATTCAATGTCTGATAATTGCAGTCACTTGCCCGGGACATGTGGACGTGAGTTTGAGGAAAAGAGAACTGAGTGAAATCTATGAACTGTTTATGAAGGAGCAATCAGTATCACCATTGAAAACATTTGACCGGAAATCTACAGAAACGTATTTACTATTTCCACTACCTTCAATCATCATTTACGCATGAATAAATGATTCCCACAATCATTGTCATGATTTCACACAGCTCCAAATTACACAACAGTGCATTGCTTAATGGACGAATGGAGCTTGTTTGTAAGTAGCAGAGACTGAAAGGTGTAAAATAATCCTACATCCTCATAGAATATGCTTTCCCCAACCTCTTCGTTACTGCAGCCAAGTATTGCTTACAGTGAGATGTTATTCACGCACTTGGATAACCTCGCCTAGTTAACTAGGTTGCCATTTTTCTAGCTGGTCCCAACACCGGGTAAAGAGGGAGGGTCGAGCATGGGGCTAGCGACCATATGCCACTAAACCTAACAAACTCCTAGAGAAACCTCAACAAACAGAAAATATATTAAAAATACAAAACCTTCAAATAAAAATCTTATTCTTCGCTCGAATCAGAGAGATGAAATGGCATAGTGAGCTGGTGAGAGCTTTCGGGAAGCCAATCACCCAGTTGATGTATCTATTCTCGATGAAAGCGAGAGTAAGAATGGGTACGTTGGATGTCCGTACTATGTACGAGACAGGGAAGGCTGCACAAGTAGCCAAAGAGATACAAAGATATGGTTTAGAAGTTCTGGGTTTCTGAAAGAGCAGAAGGAATACATGTGCACCATCAAAATTGTCAAATGCAGAGTTAGTAATCTACTCCAGCCCGGTTATCCAGATGTCAACCACGAGAACAGTGATTGACTATCATTATAACACCAGTGAGTAATAAAGATGGTCAGGCATAGAGTATGGAACGTCAATTAATGAGATTGTGAAACTGCATAGACACTTTAAGAATGTCATGTTATATCTTCCCTCATCCAGCAATGTTGACCAGTATAGGATCAATTGGGAAAGAACTAATGGATAGTGAGACCAATATATGGTGTCAATTCATGAATTCCTGGATTACAGGTGGAGTAGAATGGGTGTCCACAAAACGCTGATAAACAATACTTGAAGACTATTGGTAATACGGCTCATAATCGTTCTCAATGGCACAGATACATTTACTCTTTGTAATATCCTAAATTCATTAAATCCTCATGCTCCCCTACATAATTATTCTTTCTACCGTACATATCTGATGATTAGAGTTCTTTTGAACCGCCTTTTTTCCTTTCTTCACGTTTGTGCTCTATAAGGATTGTGGCAGCTTAAACTGCCGCACTTCTGTGCAGAGTTGTATGCTGAAAATCAATCAGGTGGACTACTTTGAGAGAGGCATTTTTTGGGATGGAATGACCAGTACTGAAAAGGTACTCGACTGGTTACAACAATCTTATTTATTCTTAAACCGTTGGGAAACCCAATGTAGAGCTTTACTTTACTTCGCTTTACATAGTTCACTTGTTCTGTAAAAAAAATTGTATACGCTTCTGATGAGGTCCTTGAATTATTGAAGAACGCTACTCAAGTTATTATTCATGTGGCATTTTGATATGATTCTTCCACTGTTATTATATGGAAGTGTTAGTTTTTCACAATCAGGTGCAAATTATTTCCTGTTGTTTTCGTGACATTGGTATGATCCTTTCATGTTCAAATATCCTAGAATGTGAATAAAGGTTTGTCATTGTCACAATAGGCTTATTATATTAAAGCATTTGGGATATTCTAGTAATCTAAAATGTCAAGAAAAAATTACTACTCCAAAACATCTGCATTCTCCCTATCCCTCATACAACTGAATAGAGTGTTAAAGCGTTAGCTATATCATCCTTCTGCTCATTGGGAAATATTTGTATTTTGTTATAACTTTAAATTCTCAGCTTTGTTACTGCAAATCACATTGTTTAATTCTAAATTAAATATCTCAATTACTTTAGGAATAACAGTTAAAATTGCAACCCTATTACAATCCCATGCTCTAAATAATTTTATTTAATCATACTGGACCAGTTCAGATAACTTAAAACGCCATTTTGTCCTTTACTCCCAATATAGTTTTATAAGAAAGACGTTTTGCCAAGATAAAAAGTGCCTTAGATACAGTGCTCTACTTTAGAACGGTGTTTATTAATCTTCGTTTGTTCCTGTCTGCATCTGTTACAGTTGCCAAAAAGTCCCTTTATTAAATAGCTTTCAAACAGTTATCTCCTTTGATAAATCTAAATAAGTCATTCCAAAGGAAAATTTCGCGAGACAGTGCTATATCGTAGTTTCTCTATAATCGCGTTACAACTGGCAATTCATCTATGTAGTAGTGGGTAGTGATTGAAGCCAATTCTCAGGAATGCCCAGAGGTATAACTCACTGCTAGTTTTCCTATGGAATTGCTGGGAAATACATTTTTTTCTAGATCTATATGATTTAATAATTAATTGTATTTGAACAATGCAAGAACTACAGTATGCGTATATTGATCGATTGATTTTTGTTTAAACTGAACTCTGTGCAAGTATGTTAAAATTGTTGTTGTAGATACATTTAATAATGTCTTTGCCATGTAAGCAGCTGACGAGAAAGCAACGAAATAAAAGATGGTACCATTTTATTCTGCTAAAACTGTAGTTCTTGCATTGTTCAAATTCATTAAGGGGAATAAATGTATGAAATTAATTGTATATTTGGAAAGGAAAATCGATTATTTAAAATTATCATATTAGCTAACTTAACGATATCTTACTGAGTCATGTGAATATTTTGTATTATTAAGCTCTACATAATTTCTTAACTGTATGATTGTTCGGACTATTCACTTGGGTGTGATCACTATTTAACATTCTGAAGGCCAGTAAATTTGTTTTTCTTTTTTAATTCTAATTTATGGAAGATACCGTATAGACGTATTCTAAGGCACTTTTAGCCAAAACAGTGATTTATAATTAACAAAGGAAATAGAATTTTTGCTGTGTACGTCTTTTTTCTTATGACTCAATATGAGAGTTTTCCGTCCAGTAATGATTTCACATAATGAAAGTCAAATATATTTCACATTATGTAATGAAATGATCTGTGACTTAGTAAAGCCAAAATGCTTAACTACCGTTTGTAATCGCCTATGCTCCCAGATGCATGTTTTATTCAATATAATGGAAACTACTTATCTTACATTAATTTTAATGTGAAACATTTTAATAGGACAATTTTAGTTTCACATGGTTTTACTGATTAATGAAGTTTCTTTTTAGATCAATTAAATGGACAGTAAACTAGCTGCAGCTGTAGAAGAATGGATGAAATATGATAAGGTGGGTGTTTTGCTGGTTTTATTTTTTCATCACTGAAGAATGAAGTTACGCGCTCACAAATTCAGTCAATGAAGGATAAAGGAGAATGGGATAATTTAAAAAAGATATTACTCAAAAGAATGGCTTTTGGAACTGCTGGTTTGCATAATAAAATTTTGCTGACATACTTCAGGATTACGAGCAAAAATGGGTCCGGGATTTTCTCAGATGAATGATTTAACAATTATACAAACAACTCAGGTAACCGAAATTAAGTGTATTCTTTGAACACTTGAAGGGATTACTTAAATATTCACTAAAAGTATTCTCAAATCTAATGTCCGATGGAATTATAGTAGGTTATGATGCTCGCCACAATAGCAGGAAGTAATTTTTCCTTTACTTTTTAAAACAAATTACTTCAATGATTTTAGGTGGGCGTTTATCGTTGCTAATGTATTTCTTAATGCTGCTTGCAAAGTCTACCTATTTAGAGATGCATTACCAACTCCTTTGGTGGCATTTGGCGTCACACATTTCAAGACTTCTCTAGGTGTTATGGTAACTGCATCACATAATCCAAAGGATGATAACGGTTACAAGGTAAGCTGTACCAGTTTTCCAATTGTCTTTAAGGTTTATTGGTCAAATGGATGTCAGATAACCGGTCCCCATGACAAGGGTATATCAGAATGTATCCTTCAAAGTTTAGTTCCATCGGAGTCGTCGTGGAATTTGGAATCTGTAGAGGAAAATTCTTTATGCATTGATCCAATGCCTGGAATTTTGGAGACCTACTGTAAACTACAAAAAAGCAAACTATGTTTTACGGAGTAAGTTATATTTGTTTGTTACGTAATGTCACCACGCTCTAAAAGCAGCCCTATCACTTGAACGAATTCAAACAATGACATGTAAATCAAGGTTTACATTTATATGTAATTAACAG